CTTTGGTGACAGAATGGATCTACTGAGGTCACTTTGGTGACAGAATGCAACTACTGAGTCAGTCAATATATAAATTATATTTTCTCCAAAAAACAACTTCACTGGTGAAGTCATGTCATCCGAATGGTAAATCATTATGTACATATAAATATTGCAATTGTTGTATCACTATCTTCCAGATCTCCATTCATATTAACTTGAGCAATGTACAAAACATACAACGGTTATTTTAAAAACAAGTCAGTGTCACATTTTTGTACATAAGTGATCTTTTTTTATTATTTTGTTGTCCATAAAAAGGTCAAGATTCAGTCCCATGAATAATTCATTACATCATATTCTCAGTTCAAAAAAGCAACATAAAATTACAAATCATAATACAAAGAATAGAATAGGTAAGTACAGTAACCATATAAACAGCCCACTAGTATAGTCTAGCCCCCCACCCACCCAACACTGCCCCGCTCAAACTCTAGCACAAAACTCATAACAATACATCAGTTAGTATCAGCATTTTAAAAAATTCAAATAAACGTCCCGTTTTTTTTGTTTTTCTTCAAAAGCGCTTCAATGTTCCAATGCCTTGAGTTCAGGTTTATCCTCACATAGAATACATAATAGAGATAACGTCCCACCCCATCACTTGCTTTGCAAAACACAATAGACATGCATACAGTTTTCACTGTTCAACCCCCCCTACCCCCATCAATACACATTCAGGGCCAGAGGATTCAATATAAGTCAACCATAGTGGTGCATCAATAAAACGGCAAGTCTCCGCCCCGTTTCTTAAGCCCAATGAATGAAAGGTGGATCCAGTGGTTTCCCTGATAACACGACAAGTCCAGGAAAGAAAACTGAGGCCTACTTCTACTTCCACAGAGAGCTGATAACTCTCTCTAATTCTTCTATCAGCTCGGACCCCTGGTCCAAGACGGTAACAGCTTTCCATTACATAAATATCAGAGACACAAAGCACAGGATGAGAAAGGAAAGACTCCCTGTTTTGAAGTGATGACAGGGTACCCACTTGTACTCCCACAATGGAGTAATCAGATCAGTGCTAGTTCAGTACATGTTCCCTTAAAAAAACAAAAAAAAACGCAGCTACTATCACTGAAACTGACGGGTCTCTTATGCAGCATGTGTCTTGTGTAGATCTGAAATGTGGTGCTAGCCTGCAACCATGAAATCAGTTCTTGGACTTGTTCAGGTCTACACACGGGGGCCTGTTGCTAGATATTCAAATGTGATGTTAGTATTCTTAATGCTGGTCAATAATAATGAAGACACACAAACTTACATTTTATACCCTTATTACACTTTGGATGCTTTGTACAATAGTGCTGAACTTAAGACCTGCTTTTGTCATGCTTGATCTGATATATATAAATGTGTCAATATACTGTATTCTACAGTACATATATTATGTGTGTTTGTAAGTGTGATAATGTGTGTGTGTGTGTGTGTGTGTGTGTGTGGTGGAACCTGCACCACACCAACAGTGAGAGGCTCAAATATGGCTTGTGTCAGACATGAAGCGTGCTGCCACCCATAAGAGAGCTCCTGTACATTTAGGGCCACAGAGGTTAGAAACAGCTATAGTAGGCATGATGTCCCGTCCTGACACCCGATCTGATGCGTTGGTCATGACATCGACACGCATGGCTCTGAAACGAACAACCCATGGCCCCCACACTATGACAAACACGTTTGGATTAATTACATCAAGACAAAAGAAAAAAAACAAAAACACTTAAAAAATAAATGTGCATATGAACAAGAGGCTGACTAACCCTTGTGATGAGAGCTACTGGAACAAGACTTGTAACACAAACTGTGCTGTCAGACTACAAGTTCATCAGCATAAAGCTTCTCGTGTAACTCAGCAAAAAAGCGAATGAGCATATTTGCCTAAATGTCAAACAACACCTTTGAATCTGATTTAATCCTGCCGTTACCAAGTCAGTGCAGTCTGCCCAACCTTTAAACGTCGCACGTCAGTAAATACTGAAGAGCAACAGCCTTCTGTTAGAGCCAACTGATCCAATGTGACATAAGAATTACTAAGTAATCCTGCACTTCTATAGCTATTCTTTTAATGCCAAAGAAATGTCCACATACACAAGAGATATACTCTGTGTCACTATCGAAGTTTCATTTCAAGCCCACCGTCATTCTTTATCATAAATATGTAGGACTGGTTGGAGAAAAGCAATGAAGGGGGATCAAAATAATTGCCTGTAAGTTGCTGCTGCAATTCTGTGGACAGGTAAAGGCTAAAGCTACAGCACAGCCAGGAAATAAAGTGGAAGCTAGCCATTCTGCAATCTTTTCAGAGTCTAAAATGAGGGAGAGTATGAGACGCCCAGCAGCCATACAAGCTATCACAATATTCCAGACTAGTCCTTATGTAACCACCAAAAAGGCAAGGAGATGGACCCCCAAACCACACAGATAAAGTAGGTTAGTGTTAGCTGGACAACAACTTGGGAAATGCCCTGGCAGTCAGAGGGATGTCCGTTAACAGGTAAACAGGAAGTAAAGGAGGAGTGGGTGGGCACATGCTCGACCAGCGTTTGTCCCCTGGAGAGAGAACTAGTCAAGCTGTGGAGGTATTCTTCATAAATACACTCACAAAAAGAAAAAAACATCAATGATAAGTTTCAATTAGCGTCCTCCACTTGCAGATGTCCAAGTCATCAGGATGTCCTTCATTTCTTTCAGCACTGCCTCACACACACATGGGCACGCATGTTCATGGAGATATGAATATACACGCGACACTTTCATGCACGACCCATGCATTCACGAACACGCCATACTTAAAAAAAAAAAAAAAATGACATCTGTGTGCTTTTTTTGGATACTTCTTAAGTTATGTTAGTGACATATTTCAACGCTGCAGTTCATAAATATCCTCACGTTAAAAAACGGATTTGTGAAATTATTTGATCTCAGCTTTTGTTTTTAGCGTTTTTCTCCACACTCCACCCGGCAGATGGACACAGCTACTGATATTAAAAACCATACGGGTGTGCTGCTTCAAAGACACACAGATGTGATTAAAAATAATCACAAATCGTTTTAGGTCAATCACTCACACGTACTTTGCAAACATGCTGACGTTCTCGCTCAGTCACGCGCACAAACACACCCACCCACCCACCCACCCACCCCCACACACACACACACACACACACACACACACACACACACACACACACAGTGTCATTCATACAAACGCAGAGAGGCCGTTGTTTGTTTCTCAGGCATGCTGTGCAGCCAGGTCCTGGTTGATGAAGCGCCGTAGCCTCTCAAGGTACTGACTGTAAAGCTCAATGTCGTTGTGACCGGCTCCCTCCACCCAGAGGGGCTCCACGGCTTTGGGACAGCGCTCGAACAGAGCCAGGCCGTGAGAGAAGTCGATCACCTCGTCCTCCGTACCGTGGATGATGAGCACTGGAGATGGGATCTTTGACACTTTCTCTATGCTGCAAGAGAAAAAACAATGGAGGCTGTTAACGCACTGACCAGGAAAATCTAGAAAACAGGGTACAGGGTCATTTTTCACTATTGACCAACAAGGACAAACTACATTAAATACATTAAAGTGTATTACAAAAAAACAATGGGAAAAAAAAATTAAATGTTGTAGATCCATTAGTACCGTAACTCAGACATGCTCACTGATATGCAACATTGCCCACAGTGGTCTGATACAACCAGAGATACTTAAGTGTGGTCTTCTATCGTCTCACAGTAGATCTTCATAATGCACAACTTCATTCATTGATCGGAGTTTGTCCAAAGTGACTTACAGTAAGTGCATTCAACCTCCATGGGCCATCATGCTTCCATGTTGCACTACAAATCCCCAACCACTATCAGAATTCCAATGGAAGCTGTGTATTTACAGCATCATATTTTGGCTTTGGAACATCTTTTTTTAAATTATATTTAAAACGTTGATACTGCAGAAAATACAACTAACATAGATCAAGAGACTTACTTAGGGAAGGCATCAAAGCAGTATGTTTTCTTAGTGTCGGGGAAAGCCACTCTCATCCCAGAGGTGAGGGGAGAGTGGAGGACCACAGCAGCACACTCAAACCGGGATGCCAAGTCTACTGTGGGCACCGTGCCGATGCTCTGCCCGTACAGGATGATATTCTCAGGACTGATGCCATACCTGAGACAACACACACACACACACACACACACACACGCACACGCACACGCACACGCACACGCACACGCACACGCACTCACACACACGCACGCCAGAGTTTTAGTACAGAATACAAAAATAAGTCGCTTTTATTCTGCTAGTATGAAAAGTGCAGAAGGACTGGTGCACAGTGTTTACAATTCCATATGCTGATTAAGTGCAGTAAGCCTGTGTTTCATGTTGATTATCATCAACCACGTTTGACATCAGTACAGTCTATTACCAAACCTGTTGAAATACTAGCTTAAGCTCAGAACCGGGGACTGTGTGAGTAATTATAAGACACATTTTTGTTGTCTTATGTCTTAATGTTTTAAGTTGCTCTGTTAAGTTTCTGCTGACATTAGGCTCATTAACCATGCTGGCAGCTGATAAGCAAGAGGAACATTTTTCAGAAGTTTAGTTGCTGAGGCTTCATGCAAAGCACGGTATGCGACGGCCAATCATCCGTCTTTTAGATACAGAGCCATTGTTTATCTTTGATTTGACTGGCCGATGGTCAGAGAGAGGGTGCCGTGGTTGGCAGGGACAAACTTTGCATATAACCGAGCCAACGAAATGTTATTTTCACAAGAAGTTACTGGCCAGTGATGTGAGTGGCCGCTTTAACTGGCATTTGGTGCTTGTTGGCTGTTCATTTCGGATCCTGTGTGGACAGTGACGGGGAGTTTCTCCCTGCTTACCGGGAGCGCAGGGCGTGCCAGGCAGCATCAATGTCAGCATATAGGTTCTTCTCGGAGGGCTTGCCAGTGCTAACGCCGTAGCCTGAGTAATCATAGGAAAAGATGTTGCAGTTGATGCGCGTGCCTAAGCCGATGTAGAAGCTGCTCATCTGGCCCAGATCTACTGCATTGCCGTGGGAGAACAACACGGTGAACCTGAGGGACAGAGCAGGTAGAAGAAAAAAAAAAAAAGACCACTGCTGAACTGGGGAGCCTCCAGCTGATAGAACAACATGGGATATAATGAAAAATATATTTGAATTTGGTTCCTACAAAAAACAGTTAACCCGCCCTATTAAAAGTACACACAAAACACAGAGATACAGGGTCGTGATCTGTGTATCTTCAGTCTCAGGTGTTGGTGGGGTGTGTCTCACCTGGCATTGGGGGCACAGCGGATGTACATGCACCCCACCCTGTTCCCTCGGCTAGATCTGGTCAGGAATACATCAGTCAGATCCAGCTCTCTCTGTGAATACTGGAACTCCGCTCTCTCTGTAAGATGAAGCTTCCACTTGCCCTCACTCCAACCACTGCCGCTGGCGCTGCCGCCACCTCCTCCACCTGCTGCTGCTGCTGCTGCTGCTGGTGCTGCTGTTCCTCCTCCTCCTCCACCACCTCCACCACCTCCACCTCCTACACCTCCACCAGCCCCACCTCCAGCACCACCACCTCCTCCTCCTTTGTCAGCTCCACTACCAGTGCTCAGCCGGGAACGCAGTCCTGGTGCTCCAAGAGAAGGCTGAGTAGCCCCGGACCCAGAAGCAGTTCCAGCTCCAGCAGCTGGATCTGGGTCAGGGAGAAGGGCGTAGGTGGGCTCTGGAGGGAGGAACGCCAGTTTGGCTGCAATACGGCTGGGGCAAGGGGGACAGCAGAACAGGCAGCATAGCTCTCGTATGGACAGACCGTTCATCTTCTGGTAGAAACATAAACATGTTAGACAGAATAATTAGGTGGCAGAAAATGTAAAAAGAAAAGCACGTAAGAAGCAAAACCTTTCACCTCTGATTCAGAGCAGGGTTTCACTCAGTGTTTTACAATGGAGGCGCACTGCCTACACTGTTGTCACAAGAAAATGTTACATTTTGATGAAATATAATATCAGGATTATTAGCTTTAGGGAAAATGACAGTGGCACTATATAAACACAGCAAATGTGACGTATTGAATTAATGAGGAGAATGTTGTCATCTAGTAGCTACAGTAAATTGATTTTGAGATGTGAAGCGTAAAAAGCTCAGCAGGTGATTTATTGATCGATCACATCCTATACTTGCTTCACAGGGGAGACTGTTGCAATGTCAGGTAGAGATAAAAATCCACAAACCTATTTATTGAGGGAAACCCTGCACATATTTACAGTTATGAACATACCTGGATTCAGAAATCCCTGGTCCTCTAAAAGAAGTGGCACACGCAGGTGCCAAGGTCTTCTGATCTAATCACTGTACCAGCAGGATCTTGATACAAAAGAAAGGATAACACATTGAAATGCAACAACTTACTATACATAATAGCATAAAGTCACAAAGTCATGCCCACTTAGTTAGCCTGGTCTTTAGAAGTAGATGTTGCGAGAGCTACTGTGTGCCATTATAAAGTAACAGATTATAAATATTAAAAAGCTCAAATCTATCATTCTTGCTTTTATCAAATACAGCATATGGAACCAAATAAAGTACACAGGCACAGCTGTGAGGGAGATATTACTTTGATTTAAAGATGTAAAAAAAACAACTGGATTTCTTATAACAGTTAAGGCGTCAGCTGTTGTCATTTCACAGCTCCTGTAACCAATTAGCATTTATTTGGGCAGAAGTTGCATGCATTCAGCCATTTGCTGATGCTGCTGACATCTCACTGCGAGATTAAAGTGATTCCGATGGCTTGATGTGATCGTGGACATTGGTGACTAATTACAACACCCCCTCAACACAGACACAGACAGGGAGCGACTGATATGCTAATAGTGGCTACATGGTTAAACAACGATATTAACCTCTAACGTTAGCTGGTGATGTGGGCACACAGCGGGAGCAGAATGGTGACAAAGCACACGTAGAAGCGAAAAGGAAGATAAGCGACACACTGCTGCTCTTATTTGACATTGTTCGCTGCACAGGTTACTGCCAGCTAACAGTCAAAATATCATCACTTGTCGTTAGCAGGGCAACCAGCTAGCGGCAGCTCGCTACAGCGTTAGCCTCGAAGCTAGCTACTTACCGATTCACAGTCGGTTGGCAGGCAGGCCGGTGTACCCGTATATGTACACAGAAGCGGCACAACACTTCGACAATTCCTCTTGTGTCTTGACATGGATGGTTTTACTAAAGTGTAATGACAGTTGTCGTTGGCTAGCTAGCTGAAATTCATGGCAACCAGATTTTTTTTTTTTACTACTGTCCGATTAAACTCGGAAGTGACGTAATGGCATAGTCCTTTTTCAAAACTTTATTACCTCGATATAATTTAGGATTATCACATTTATATCGCACATATAAACGGTATGATAGTGGAAACATCTCTCCAGGATTGAGAATGGATTCATTTAAACAATTTTAAGACCTCACAGCATTTCAGTTTGGTTGCATTATAGCGAATATCATAATAGTTATAGTAAAAAAGGCTTTAATGGTGTCTTTATTTTTATTTGTTTTGATTCAGTTGATATGATTCTGTCATAAAACATTATAAATATAACATAACTCACAAAACCGGGAACAAAATAAAAACAGTCAATCCAACATGGGAAACTCAAAGTTGACAATAAAATCAGCTTAGTGTTTCATATTCACTGCAGTGAGTCTAAATGTCTAAAAACCCTATCCAGAACCATTGCATATATTCAGATCCTTTACTCAAGTAAACATTGTAATATCACAGTGTAAACGTAATTATTTACAGTTATATATTATCTTCTAAATGTACTTGTATTCAAAGTAAAGGTCCACATTATTTAGCGGGATTGCCCTTATTGATGTTATTATTTGAGAAATACGTTAAAGTATTTAATGTTATAGCTGGCCAAGTGGGATAATAATAATGCATCATATTTTAGTTTTTTTTTTAAATCTAAAAAGTATAATATATAATAATATAGCTAGAATTTATTTTTTTCACAAAATCATTGCCTATGAAGGTATTACTCCCCATGAAGCTTTTCGTGTTTTAGGCCCTTTAACATACAACTTTCCTGAACATTATTGAAGACGTATTTCAATAATGGCGTGTGTGTGTGTGTGTGTGAGAGAGAGAGAGAGAGAGAGAGAGAGAGAGAGAGAGAGAGAGAGAGCTCCTCCATTCATCATTGATCCACTGCAGGACTCTGTTTCAGGGGGTGTGAATTATGGGCCCCTGCTGTCACTGTGACTGCTCTGCGTTGGACATTTCCCCTCGCCACTGTAAATTTAAACAGGGGATTACATTTTGCTGACTACTGATTTCAAAGCCGAAGCTTGCCCAAGTGCAGACTACAGCCCGGTCCCCCTGAAGAGTGGCCTTAATACAGTCCGCAATTGCAGGATTTGGGATTTTACAGGGGTCTGAACAAAGCTACCGGGAAAGAAAACGTATTCTGGATCACAGAAAACTCGCATAGGTTTCGTGTATTACGTATTAAGACAACGGACTTTTTTTTTCTCCAGGGGCAAAAAAAAAAGAAAAACCTTTTGTAGTGGACTGGGCGTTTTGTACGCGCTCGGTAAACGGTGATGCTACGGCGGCGCGCAGGAACCGTAGAGGGAAGAGACAGGTGAGGTGCGGCTAAGGAGCTGCTGTTATTTCAGGGACGCTTTAGATACCGAGAGTCGTGGTATCCATCACCCTTTTCTCCACAGAGAGGAAGAAGAGCGACCGGAGAGGGCGAGTTGGCGACTGGCACCTGCCACCTCCTCCCTACCTGGCCATCTGGTGCGGTGAGTGTGCCAAACGGTGAGATTGAGAGATGGATATGTATGAGGGAGATGGGGGGTTGGGGGTGGGGGCGGATGGGACGAACAGGTCACAGCATGTGAGCAATTGTATTAGGCTACTGCCACTTAACGCGATGCTGCATTATTAGGCTTCTCCTCCGGGTTAGCCAATGTTGTGTTTGGCATCGCCTGGACCTCATTTGGACGTGAATTGCTCTTTGTGTTTGCTGCGAGTTTGATGTATGATTTGCATATTATGTGCATATCTTTATTGCATATCCCTGCATGTCGTTGTTCTGTCACGTGTTGTGTAGAATTTTAGGTTAGAAGTGATGCCTCAGCAAAAACAGCTCACAGTACTTGCACATTACAGCACTGCATTGGAGCACAAAGCCTGAAATTGTTATTTAGATCAGGACCTGTGATCTGGCCGGATTATAGGCCATGATAGGTGCCCAAATTATGTCTCTTCGGCATTTTAGGCTACTTTAGACAGATCCAAAGACGACTGAATACTCTAAAAAGTCCTTTGTCCAAAATATGTCTTGCGCACTTACGACAACATGTCACCTAAATTGGCCATAACCACGCTGCACACTCACAACCACCCCGGCCCAAGTTAAATGCTCACTCACTGCCGTCTCAGCTCTTACTGAAGTGATTTAGTAGTTATATGTAATTCATTGTTTACAACAGCATCCCTCACACTAAAAGCTACCAAGCGCCACAGAATGACTGTAACAGCTGCTGCTGTTTATGTTTGTGTTTCTGTGTGAGTTGAAAGGCAACAAGAGATGGTAGCAGACAAAAAAGGAAATAGAAAGGAGCAGCGGGGAAGAGGAGGAGAGGGAGAGACAGAAACACAGACGGAGAGATCGAGGATGCAAAGGATAAAGTGTGGTAGATAGCAATCCGGCGTACAGGCTACAGGGGGATAGGCAGAGGACGTGAAAGACAGAAAAAGAAATGATGGAGCAGAAAGCTCAGAGCGAAGGAGCGTTGAGGGAGAGGGGCTGCAGACAGCAGTGTGAGCGGGGTGTGAATGGTCTCCCTGTTATCCCTGCTGCCCACACAGACAGCCACACAGCAGCCGTGTGAGCAGGTGCTAACCCCAACACACAGCAACCGCAGGGAACAACAGGTGCAGCCACTGTTTCCTCCAGCCTCCCTTTGGAAGGCAGTCTAACAGCCGCCCATCCCAAACATCCAGCAATCCAAAAAGCCCTCTAACACCAAAACACCCACAGCCTATAGTGAAGGGAACCAAATGGATACTTCAATCTACATTTAGGGAAATCGCATGCAAAGGCCAGGCTTGAGTAATTCAATTAGAAGATTAATTATGCCGCAAACAAAGTTGGAGCCACTTGAAGCAACAAGGCAGAGCAGGCTGCAGGTAAAAGCAATCTAAGAGAGCCTTCGGGTGAGACAACTGCCCACAGGGACATTTAATGAGCTCTATTGATCACATAGGACCCTATTTAATCACACATGCTAAGCCGCAAACAGGACATCTCAAGCACAGAAAAAATAGATTGGATTGCAGCATAATACAGCCTTCCCACAAAGGGAGCAATTTGCCAGCAGATTAGTATGTTGGGGTTGCTAAGGAGCACGTTTCAAGAAATGTGTAGAATGACAGTCAGAGATCTTGTGTGTGTGTGTGTGTGTGTGTGTGTGTGTGTGTCTTTGTGCGTGGTAAACAGAGTGAGAGAGATGTTGCCTAACAGCTTCTCTCTACGCTTCGCCAAGAGAATACGCGGAGCAATTGGCGACAGATTTCCTGTCTTTACCTCCGGTACACAGAGAGGAACATTGAATGACTGAAACACTGTGGGGGCTCTAAGCTGCCAGTAAACCTGTAGTTTTCTATTCCTACTTCATATCAGACAGTGGGATTGATTTAGTTTGTTTTTGCCAAACCTGAGCCACCCAGGACACTGTTTTAAAACTACTGTGACTCGCTTTAACCTCTACACGGTGTAAATGTCTCTGTTTTCACACAGTCTGGAGATACCTCCCACTCTCCCTCATACTGTATATGAGGGAATGTGGACGTATGCTCCTATAGTGTTTAGATGAACTTAAAGTAACTTTCAAATCTGCCCTGAAGCAACCACTCCTCTCTGCGTCAGAACAGAGGCAGGATTATTCACTAATCTGATCATAAAATAAAGCAAAGTTGTGACTAGTGTCAAGAGATTTGAAGGAATGCTGATTTTTTTCAAAAGCAGCCAGCTACAGCATCTTTTGAAGTTCTGGTTTCACACAGAGCGCTGTGTTTAGCATTTGGTGGGATTCTTTGGTACAAAATCAACACTTGAAAAGCGTGTTGACGTCTGCAAATCCCGGTGCAGTGAGATCAGAGGGACCTAGCTGGGCAGGCATCTGCTGGGTGACCTATTCCTGCAGAGTGCCCCAGGTGTGGACCTCAGTGCTTCATTGTGCACGATTAAGAAGTTCAGAGGGTCAGGTGTCACGCAGGCATACTTACTTTACTTGTCAGAAAGTAGCTTTTATCCTCAGACAGGTACATTTAAAATAAACTCCCTTATGCAAAACATTCTGTGTTGATGTGAGAGGCTTTCAGGAGCCTAACTGGGCCTTTCTGACAACTCTTTCCAGATGTTTGAAAAGGAAAGGAGCAAGATAATAGGCACCACACAAGCTGAGGAGCTTTAGCAAACGCTGAATTGTCCATGGTACTATAATTTGAACGCCCGGTGTCTGCAATATGTGGATTTGGTTGCCGTATCAGCCACATGTGCCGTATATTAATGCCTTGCAGTTGGTTTCAATGTAAAAATCCTTTGTATACTTTACAGTGGCCATGCATCTTCAGCTTTATGACTCTCTGTCTTCACTGATTCCTCCCCCGAGGAGCAGCCTCTCTTATGCTTCCCTCTGCGCATTGTGTGGGCTATAACAGGTTAACATGTGTGATCATTGTGCAGTGTATTCTCCTGTCCACTGTATCACCTTAACAACACCTCTGGCGCTCCCTCATCCTCATCAGGGTCGGGCCAAATGATATGACATGCACGGCCTGTGTGGCGGTTTAAGGCACACATACATGCATATTTTATGAACGTATTTGTTGTAGTGTATGTGAGGGGTCACAAGAAGTATGAGATAGTTTGCGTCTCCAATACATCGTTTTGGATGCAGCTGGTTCTCCCATTTAAGTGCCTGGCTAATTGGTTGTGAGTGATACCACAGCTGTTTCAACTTTTGAAAGATAAAGGTAGTCGAATCTCCTACCTTCTGTGTTCTCATTTACATCACAAAATTGCAGAGTGAGAAAATGATCATCCTCTTCATGCTTTCACTGAGGCTCTCACACACATCTGCACGCACACACACACACAAACAAAATAAGCATATAAGAAAGTAACCTTTTCTCAAATGCCACCGCTGAGGCACTTGACCTGTTACTTCTTTGCACAAAATGAATGCAGGTATACATATTTCTCGGGTGTTTGGTCTATCCTCTCATATTTCGCTGCGTTTGTTGTCCAACAAATTCAGCCAGCACCTAAGCCAACGGCAGGCTTTCGTTATGGCAGCTTAGCTAGAGGGATTTGGAGGACTTTTTTATTGGGCGATAAAGGCACATCCGAGTCCTTTGTCTCCCAGCTACGCAAGATAGTTTTGTTGCCTGATGAAGCTTTGTTGTGGTTAATCTTTTTCCCTCCTTCATCCTGTCCTCTCCCACACCCATCCCTTCCTCGCAACAAACACAACTTTTCTCTTTTAATTATGGATTTTCATCTGCGGCCCAGTCACAACTGAGGGGAGAGGAACAAAGTGTATCCGAAACACAATTATACCTGCGAGGAGGACAGAAAGCTCCCAGGGGAGGTGTCGTCTCTGCGTACGGGTGTGTATGCTGTAAGCGTGTGTGCATGCACACGTCAATCCACGAGCAGGTTCTCTGGCATTTTGATTGTTGTGTGTAGACCACCTTTTGTGAGCTGTGATCCTCTTAGCAGGCTTCTGCCAAAATAGCTATATTTACCCTTACTGGTGATCACAGCACACAAATAAAACATGACGAGAATATGAGCTATCTTTCAGCTTCAGCCTCCTTCTACGCCAGCATAAGAGAAGCCACAAACAGGGTATGAGATATATGGTAATGGCTGCCACGTTGAGACATTAGCTCAGCCTATTTAGCATAGTCTTTGTTGAGGTAGAAAAATGGCAAGCAGGAAGATGTTGGGCAGTGGTCAGTAAAACATAGAAAGCAAAAATGTAATAATAAATAGATATTTTCACCCGAAATTACAACTTATTTGTATGAAAACACCAATTCTCATGCCGTAAGATGATTCTGATCTGTGTTACCTGAAGACACAGTTAAGCAGATGCAAAGATGCTCACTAGAGACAGATATCATGGACTACCTTGTACAGTATGAAGCGCAGCCTTCACACTGTGTGACAAAACCCAATAGCAGCAAGTCAAATCCACAGATTGAAAGCCCTCATCACTGTTGTGTAATTTAAACTGCATCTTCATTGCCATCGTACGCACTGGAGTGTGCGTGTGTTCAACTCTGTGCTCGTAGTGTGTGTCTGAGTGCGTGCACTGCATACTCATGTGCTCGCCTCTAGCTCAGAGCTGTGCAGTGAATGTATATGTGCTTACTGCAGTCAAACTCTGGTTAGTAACGTTTGCCCTTGCTGCAGCTTTGTACAGCACCATAAATGTGTGTGTGTGTGTGTGTGTGTGTGTGTGTGTGTGTGTGTGCGTGCGCACGTGCGTGTATGTGTGTAGGTGTGTGTGTTGTTTTCATGTGCATTTCTGTCTCAGTGCAGCACCACAACATTACCTGTTTTGTAGCCCAAAGTCATTTGCGAGTGTTTGATTGCTTTGCACCTGCATTTCCGAGCAGTGTGTTTGCGTTCGTACATGTCCATTAACCATAAGCTGATAACTCTCTGCATCCATAGGCTTCTGTGTGCCTGTCACAAGCAGCAATTTGGCTTTAGGCGGAAGGCCTGATTGGGGAAGAAG